ATGAATTGTGATAAGAATAGCTTGATATTTTACTCTCGAAAATGAGATATTATGTTTTTGGATAGCACATGACGTGTAGCATAATACAGGACGTCCGCCAAGTTGGCGTTGTCCTTTTCGGAAACAACTACCCTTGAAATAACAAAGATAATGTGTAGTGCAACGAGGGCGACCAAGTAAAAAAAAATAAAGGAAAAAGTACTCACTCTCCAGTTGACGAGAAGGGCTAAGTACGTCTCTGCCCGAAATCATACCGCTCCAACAGAAAATGATGCGCTACCGAGCAGGCGGTGGTGCAGACCACGAACAGAAGTAACAAATATGACGGCCTTGCCGCGTTTTCAGCTTTTAGGTAAACGTACTTTATAGGTATTGTTCGAAGTTATCGCCGTTTGATTAAAAAACACAGGTGCGTGCACGACGTAGCCAAGCATCGGTGCAGGCGTTGAGAATGGAGTCCCTCCCCCCAATGAAAGCACCAGCTTGTTCAATTCTGAGACGAAGTTCGTCAACCGTATGCACTTCAGTTTTGTACACTAAGCGTTTCATTTCTCCCCAAAGAAAAAAATCACATGGTGTTAAGTCTGGAGATCGCGGAGGCCACGCTACGGGTCCATTACGTCCGATCCACCTATTCGGAAATAATTCATTCAAAAACTCACGCACTTCGCGTCTAAAATGGGGCGGTGCACCATCGTGCAGAAACCACATTGATTGTCTTACACTTAATGGCACATCTTCTAACAAGGAAGGCAAAATGTTGCGTAAAAAGTCTAGGTATTGCATCCCGTCTAATCGATTTGGGAGAATAAATGGTCCAATGAGCATACCGTTCACCATGCCAGCCCAAACATTCACCGAAAATGTTTGTTGAAAATGTGCCCGACAGACTGCGTGCGGATTTTCTACTGACCAAACATGAGTGTTACGAAAGTTATTCACCAGATTACGCGTGAACGTAGATTCGTCTGTCACCAATATGCACTTCAAAAAGTCCGGATTATTGTTATGTTGATGCAACAACCACTCACAAAACCGCACTCTTGCTGGAAAATCGTCAGGTTGAAGGGCTTGTTCACGTTGGACATGAAACGGATACAGCCCCTCTTCACGCAGCGTTTGCCGCACTTTAGTTTTTGATACTTGCACTTCTCTAGCCACGTCTCTAGTGCTTGTTGTTTTTTAAAACGCAATCGATTATACGGGTTCGTTTACCTCTACACGCGTGACCGTAACCGTCGGTTGAAGGCTGTATACTGACCTGACACACTGACCCCGACCCAGTTCTGTCGTCGAGTTGAGCCAGTGACCTTGTACCACTCTAGCCACGTCTCTAGTGCTTGTTGAGGGATTCTCGTCTACGCGATTCAGTAGTTCTTCCTCAACTTGCACCATTCGTGGTTGTCTAGGCCTCCCACTGTGCCCACCTCGAAATTCCTCCAAATGGCCCGTATCCCTGGCTCTCTGGACCAGGAACACAAATCTGCGGGGCATTGGATGATGTCGTCCAGGGAAACGATCTGCATACACTCGCGAAGCCTCTGTAGCATTTTGAAGACATTCGCCATAAATTAATAACATATCAACGAGTTCATTATTGGTGTATGAGTGTCCATTATTATTTTATTTTAAACGCAATCGATTATACGGGTTCGTTTACCTCTACACGCGTGACCTTAACCGTCGGTTGAAGGTTGCATACTGATCTGACACACTGAACCCGACCCAGTTCTGTCGTCGGGTCGAGCCAGTGACCTTGTACCACTCGGTGATGTCGCGGGTCGCGGCTACAGGACGGTATTCAGATATTTTTGATGTTGCAGAGCCCTTTATCTCGGTTCCCTTAAGAGATTGGTGTATATGGTACTAAGAAAAATTGCTTATGTTTTCAAGATCTACACGTCGTGTAAAGGAAAACCCCAACTTTACGGACACCCTGTATATATCAGGAAAAATCACGATACTGTCAGTCTGTCGATCTGCCTGTATGTCGGTCTGCAGTACAGGATTAAGACAGCGACACATTTTGAAGGGGGGACAACGAAAATGGAATACTTGGTACAACAACTAGTAGCAACTTTCGTTCATTGAACTACATACAGTCAACCATGAACAGGTGTTTCGTGCTTTTTGGTAACTAGTCAGCATGGTCTAGATCTTATACCTCGGATAGAGGATAGTTGCTATCTCAGAAACAAAGCCTGGAAAACTTGATTAGTGTTGTCTTACTTCTATAGTAGCAAAAATCTTTCGTCTTCTACCAGCCTTTTTTATGCGGTGCTTTATTTCAAACAACTCACTTTTAACAGAGCTTATGGAAGAAGTGAAAGGCTGACCTAGATCAGGACTCCCTACTATCCGTAATAAGGCGACGCCGGAGAAACGCGGATATGCGTTGCTTGTTTGCAGTTTAAAGTTAAAACCGCGTTTTAACCCTGCATGTACCAGAATTACCTCACCGTACAGTACTTTGTGTCAAATTATAATAATGAGCAACCGCAAAAGTTTTTGGAAACATTGCTCCACTTCAAACTATTCCCCAGTGCATTAGCCAAGGGTCTTTCCATTTACATACCCAGTAAGTTTGTTTGTAACTCCGTCAGAAATTTTATCATTAGCCACTTGTTGTAGACAGCCGCAGTCAGTCGCTACTACTAGAAACCATGGGCGGGGACAAAAAATAATCAAAGAGGAGAAAATAGAGGGTACTAGCGTCCACCGTATTTCTTGATACGGGATCAAAATGCAACCGTTTCAATGACAGTGCTGCGCCATCTATCTGCACATAGTACAGGCGTTGAGCAGTTATAAGCTATAAGACGTACAGTATATTCAGATAAGAGATAGACCGGATGTAAACAAAAGGTTCGGGTGATTTTCACGCTAACGCCGCCGTCTCGACGTAAAACAGGAGCCCTCATTGGTCAATTCGCAATTAAATGCCTATGCCAAGCGGCAGAGCAGTCGTATCAAGGCAGAGTCACATTCAGGTTCAGACGTGTTACGTATGTCGTGTGCATCATTGCAATTTGATATTTCTTTGGACGTTTTCGTTTGTTATCTTATTAAGTTGTTGAGTTTGTCGTTGTTATTGTTATACCTTGTTATTGATTGTTATTGTTATCAACTGCTTGCGCAAAATGCCCAGTAGTACAGATACTGCCGATGAAGTTGTAAACTCCTGTAGTCCACCTAGGAAACGCTCTAAAAAAAGACACCTGAGTGCAGAAATGAAAGAGGTCATTTTGAATATATATAAGTTCGAGCGCGAGGAGAACGAGGCATCAACCATCAAAGAAATTGTTGCAAGTCAAAATAAAACTGTGCTCCGTTTACCTCCATACCATTGCGAGCTCAATCCCATTGAGCTCATATGGGCAGAGGTTAAAAATTATATAGCTAAGCACAATACAACTTTTAAATTTTGTGACCTCAAAGGACTTTTCAAAGAAGCACTAGAATTAATAACAGCGCAAAAATGGGAAAACTGTATTAAGCACATGAAAGACAAAGTTGAAAAGAGAATGTGGGAACTGGACAATATTTTAGGGGAACAAGTCGAGCCATTCATTATTGACGTTGGTGCTTCACGCAGTAGCGATGATGAAAGCTCATCAAGCTCATCTTTCCAATAAAAGATGTCGTTCATCAAATTCGGTAAGTTATAAGTAATTATAAAGCTACTGTATTTTTTAATTAATTATTGACATTTTTGAACCCATTTTGGCAAAACCTATTCAAGAATCTACTTTCTGACAATGTTCAACCATGCACATTTTTTTACGTTTTGAACGTTTTAATTTGGTTACATATTTACCTAGAAATCAAAAAATATACTAATCGATATTCTAAAAGCAATTTTAAGAGATATACGATTATTTTTAATTTAGGCTAATTTAAACGCCATTTTGAGATTATATTCGACTGTATTTCACCAGCATCAGGCGGCATCCGAAGCAGGAAATCGAAGCGAAAATTTTGAAACCCTTATGTATATTTACATCATTATATATTTCTTACCCCACCCCCACATGATCCTATATCCATCACCAATCGTATACACATCGAATTGTGCTAATTTACTACAAAGTTACGCAAAGCAGCATCTACTATCTAAAATATGTACTGCGTGACTCTTAATACGTCCCTGCCGAATGTTACAGCGTTCGATGATCACGTGGTCTTGTTTATGTCCGGTCTATCTCTTATCTGAATATACTGTAGGGGTCTTTAAGTCATTTTGACTATCATCTGAGTATTCACCTATTTGTCTACGGCCCAGGGGATATCAGGTAACCAAATAAGCTAGTGCGGTTGCTGAATATCGCACATTGCCATGGATGTTGTTGATCGATAGCGATTGTTTGTTACCTGTTGTCACTTTAGCACGAATCCTTCATTTCTCACACACATAAAAAGTTGCTGAAAATTGTTACATACCCAGATCTAATAATTGAAAATGGCGACGAATAAAACAGTAATTCGAAGCTGTTTACTGCATGAGTACAAAAGCTGCAGCGGCGGCGCGAAAAATACACACATCATCAAAAGTGTTGGACCCCCTAATCCGTCTAGAGCGGAGTTCCCCAAACTTTTTTGTGTCGTAGACCCCTTGCCATGTTTTTTCCGTGTTGGGTAGACCCCCTACTTACCTGATATTGATTTCCTGTAAATTTCTAACTGTAGCGAAGTTTAGTGTTAAAAACTTAAAGTAAAAACACATGTTAATTTATACATTTATTAATTGAATTTAAATTAAAACTACTCAAAATAAAATTTTGTATCTGTTATGTAAAATATACGTAACATTAAATAAACAGGTGACTGACCAATAAGTGCCCGCATTGGGAATAAGTGCCCGCATTGAAAAAAAAAATAAGAGGGATAAAATAAAAAAAAGTGAAAAATAATAAATAAAAAAGTGTTTTACTTAAAATAGTACAATAAGCGAGTTCGTTTAATAATTATAACATAAACGTATGTTCTACAATAATTTCACTGTTGGTTTGATTAAATTCCGCTTTTTATACGTTCAAGGTATCTAAAAATAGGCAAAAAATTAACGAATTTTAGTGTGTACCTATCCTTGAATTTTCGGAATAATTTAAAAAAAAATATTTTCTATAAAGGGGGGTTCTTTAAAAAAAACAATGCGGGCACTTATTCCCAATGCGGGCATTTACTGGTCAGACACCAATAAACATAGAATAAACTATAAATAAAATAACATAAGCAATAAGTAAATATTTTTAGTGAGAAGGATGAACCTGATGCTTTAATAATAAATTATCAACATTTGGCGTCAACCTTGTAAGGGTTAATCTTAGATCTCCTCGGCTAATTATGTCCAGTCTTTTTCCTTTTTTCGTTAGGAGATTGGTAACAGCGCTGAACCTTTTTCCACTAGGTATGACGATGGAAAGGAAATTAAAAATTTCCTCGCTATATTCCATAATACGGGATAAGTAACGGGTATGTTATTTTGCAGCCAGAATTGCTGATATCCGTTTTTAAACTGAACCTCAAGTTCTTCGTTTGTACTTAGTTCAGTCAGTTCCTCTTGTATTATGACATTCGTTTCTTCTATGTCACCATATGGATTACTTATCTACGGTGGTATTACCATAGTCAAAATATCCTCAAACCTAGATTCAAAATCTGAATAGAGGGCATTTAAATGTTGAACGTAAGTTGAAACGTCGTCTTCCTGGCAGCTTGTCTGTGACAAATTGGGGAACTGAGAAAATTCGCCCCGTCCGATATTTTGCTTCATTAGTTTAACTCTGGCAAGAAACGCTGATAAGATGGAGTTTATTTTAATCAAATTTAAACTGTCGCCTTGTAATTGCAAATTAACCATATTAAGTTTTGTAAACAAATCTGTTAAATAGGCGATGTCTGTTTTCGTCTTCATTAAATTTTCTTTTAAAATTTTACCTTTAGTATCCAGAAATTCTCTCAAAAAGTGCAAAAAATACAGCCAGCGTACTTCAGTGTGAAGGAGTAATTGATGAAAGTGTTCGTCATTTTCTTCACACAACTGCGCAAATAACCGCGTATTCAACGCGTTGCTTCGGATTCGGTTTACTGCATCAATGACTAAATGAAATGATTCATGCAAATCTAACACTCAAATTTTTAGCAACTAAATGTTGCCGATGGATGACGCAATGTATTGCTAACACCCCTGACACATTTTGTTTTAAATAGATTATAAATCCACGATAACGTCCAACCATGGCAGGTGCTCCATCTGTAGCTACTGATATTATATTTGATAAAGGAATTGCTTTTCAATGAAGTAGTCCTTCAAAACATGAAATATTGATTCACCTTTAGTGTCGGTTATCAGAGTTCTTGCGAAGAGCAGTTCTTCGTAGATTTCTTGATTCATAATAAAGCGAACATTCTGTCCTGTGTAGGTCTCTTCTGAAATTTATCGTTGAGTGTTTGAAAGTATTTCAAATCTTTCTCTGTTTTATCAGGGTGGCATCTTTTCAGATGAAAATCCAGCAGCTGTATATTAAAAATATTTTTTGATTTTTCCGAAAACATTCCATAATTCGAACATCTTCTTGCAACAATTAGCTCGAATTACGGAGATTGCATTGTAATTATACATATTACCGATTGCTAAAACTTTCAAAAAGAAACTATTGAGGAGTACTCGTGTAGTTTTGCATGATTGAATATTAAACTACTAATAACTAAAGTCATGATTGGCGTAATTTATCTACCTTTGCTAACTACGAGTACGAAACTAAAATTTAATAAAAAATAATGTACTTACTTTTCTCCAGCACTCTCAAACAAAATAACACTGACTCACTATAATTTGTGTGATATACTATCTGTTTATATTTTTTAAAATATTTTCTTAGCACTTTCCTTTTCAAGATTCAGGAAACGAATAAGCGTATTTGTCCCACATTCGTATTTATAGAGTGACGAATTGAACAAGTCAGTGCAAGGTAGCGAAGCTCTGAGACTGCGACTCTCAGGTTTCTACAAGTTCAAAATGTATTGCGAGGACAAAGCGAATACCAGCATCCTACAACTTACACAATTTTATAAACATATATAAAAAATTTTTTACTTCATAGGTACTTTTATAAATTATGTATATGTTTTGATATTTTAAGATAGTATGATGTAAGTAAATAGGTACTATCAGTGTATGTGTTGAGATCCACTATCGTGGACCCCCATATTCATTTCATGGACCCCCAAATTTTTTTTCGCTGACGTAGACCCCTTGCAGGTTGTCATAGACCCCTAGGGGTCGATATAGACCACTTTGGGAATCAATGGTCTAGAGGTACGTTATCTACATGCCGTTGCTGAACAAAAAATCTTTATATATTTAGCAAACAAAAAACGCAATAACAGTTGAGATAAAAATGTGTTTGGATTTTTATAGAAATGAGTCACTTTAACGGTAATATTTGAGCAAAGTATTAAAATAAAATTTTATACTATAACCTTTAAAATGCGGCTAGCTGAAATTTCTGGTTTTGATAGAACACGAATAGTAGCCCTCTTCCAAGCTGGATTTTCAAATCACCGAATAGCACTGGATTTGTTCGGCTATTCGAACGATCCAAAGATTCCAAGAAACTGGCTCAGTTGAAAATCGACCACGCAGTGGGCGTCCTCTAGTAACAGATGATAGGGAGAATCGTTACATTGCTCTATTTGCCCTAAGTAAGAGATTCTCAACAAGTACAGCTATCAGATCGCATATTCAACATACCTTTCGAAGAGTTATTTCCACTTCAACCATCAGAAGAAGATTGCGAATGGCAAATTTGCACCCTAGAAGACCTTTAAGGGTTCCACGTCTTACTCGTAGACAAATTGCTGATCATCTCCAGTGGGCTAGAGAAGATCAGGAGTGGCTTTGACCACAGCGGCGAAATGTGGTACTTACAGATGAGGTTACGTTTGGACTGGTGAGTGATGACCGTAGATTAAGGGTTTGGAGAGAACCAGGACATCAACAGCGACTAAATTTGGCCCGAGTAGTTGCCCCATATCAGGGCGGATGAGTAATGTTTTGGGGAGGCATAATGTTTAACTACCGGAGTCCTTTAATTCAGATCCAGGGGGCAGAAATTTTTGAAGAAAATGTCATACAATCCATCATTCAACCTTTGCGAAATGAATTCGGTAACAACTTCATTTTTATGGATGATAATGCAAGGCCTCATAGAGCGAGAAAGGTCCAGCGGGCTCTAGAAAGGGGTCAAATAGTGAGATTGCCGTGGCCTGCGAACAGCCCAGACATGAACCCCATTGAAAACATTTGGGACACTATAGCTCGAGCCGTACGGACCAGAATAGATCCATCTACAACCCTAAATGAGCTGGGTGCAGCAGTAAATGAAGAGTGGAATAATTTACCCCAAAAAAAAACATTAACCACCGAATAATAAGATTGCCAAGGCATGTTAACGCACTGCTAAAATCAAGAGGACACCGAACTGGTTATTATGTTTTATTTTTCTTTAGAATAATCATTTTTCTTTAATTTTGATTTTTAGAAATAACATTTTTGGTACCTTACTTGTTCAAATTTCTTTTTCTTTTCATATTAATGAAATTAATTTAACGTTTTGTTAAATAAATACAGTAAAAAATACCCCAATTTAAAATATACTAAGTGACATATAAATCCGAACACCCAGTTTAAATGGTTTTGTTTTAATAAAAGTTGGTGAATGTATTTATCTGTAAATAACAAGTGAAAAAATTTTCAGCCTCATCAGTTGGACATTCCGGTTTTTATACTGCTTTTTTTTAATTCACTAACGCTCTAAAAATGAATATTTCAGCCGCAGTAAAGAATCAACGTTATCGGATTTTGGTTCTTGACATCCTTTTCGATCGGTTACGATGCCTAGAGTACGGAGACCTGTACGATTTTGTCAACTTAGTGAGTTTGATAGGGGCCGTATAGTGGGACTTCGGGAAGCTGGACTTTCTTTTCGGGCAATTGCAGTTAGAGTGCAAAGAAGTGTAGACACTGTAGTTAGATGTTGTCAGGCATGGCTTCGAGAAGGCCGTACGCAAAGAGCGAGGGGCACTGGACGCCGCCGTAGAACAACAGACCGTGAAGATCGCCGCCTAAGATTATTGGCCTTAAGGGACCGTTTCTCCACTACCAGGTCCATTTCAAATGAATGGTTTGCAGAACACGGAAGACCTATTGGCATGCGAAGTGTTTACCGACGAATCAGAAGTTTTGGCTTGTTTTCATACCGGCCACACTGGGTCCTCCCTTTAACTCGAGAACACCGATGTAATCGCCTTGAGTGGTGCAGACAACGGTCACTTTGGGATCAGGAATGGTACTGTATTATCTTTAGTGACGAGTCTCGATTTTGTTTAGGCATGCACGATGGTCGTGCCAGGGTTAGAAGGCGACGTGGTGAAAGGAGGAATCCACAGTTTTTTGTTGAAAGACATGTTCATCACACTGTTGGAGTTATGATTTGGGGTGCTATAGCTTATGGTTCCAGGTCACCTTTAATCTTCATCAGAGGTAACATGAACGCGCAGCGTTATATCCACGAAGTTCTAGAACCCCATCTTTTACCCTATCTTGACACCCTAGCAGATCCGACTTTCCAACAATATAATGCCCGACCACATGTTGCAAGAGTCACAATAGACTTCTTTCAACATAATGATGTCACATTGTTACCATGGCTACCAAGATTTCCCGACTTATCTCCAATTGAGCACGTGTGGGATATGGTGGGTAGGAGATTGCTCAATTTGCAACGTCCTCCTCAGTCTCTAGAAGCGCTTCGAGAGGAGTTGGTGGTTGCCTGGAATGAGATACCACAGGAGGACATTGACCACCTGATCAGAAGCATGCCTAGGCATGCCTAGGCGCGTTGGAGAATGCGTAGCACATCAGGGTGCATCCACACATTATTAAAGGTCAAAGGGCTTTAAAGCAGTGCAATCATTTTGAAATTTTTATCATTTACTTATTATGCTTCATTAAGTACTTATACAAAATTTTATTAAAATAAAACAATTTAAACTGGGTGTTCGGATTTATATGTCACTTAGTATATATCAAAGATTGAAATTAGAAGGCTATAGTTTCCTAGTACGGCAGGGGGTCCGACACTTTTGATGATGTGTGTATGTACCGCATTCAGAGATGATGCCGTTAGTGATCGAACAGCACAGAAGTGGTTCACAAAATTTTCTTCGGAAGATCTCAGCCTGAGCGATGAACCGCGCTCAGGGAGACCAAAAATCAGGAACAACGACGATCTTCGACAGGTTGTGGACGCAAGTTCCAGGACAACGTGACAAGAACTTGCAGAAATGTTCAGAGTGAGTCCGTTTGCATCTTCATCAGCTAGGAAAGACGTGGAAGTTAAGCAAATGGGTCCCACATGAACTGACAAATGATAACAAATTAAGTCGTCTTACCATTTGTTCAGCAAGCA